CTTGGGCCAATTCTGCGAAGAGGTGATCCCCGTTCACCTCGGACGGAACCTCCCATGACTTGGCGGCCGCAATAGCCAACCCCATTGCGCAGCCTCGGTCGACGGCCACCAAAGGAGAACAGGGCAGGTTGATGCGCCCAACGTCAACCCGGTGTGGCCGAAAGATGGGAGGGCGCCCGTCGGGGCCAACATAGCGCCCCTCTTCATTGAGGTGATATCGGGCGCCCTCCTCCTCCTCTCCGGCGGCAGTAGCGGCGCCTACTTTCCCCTTCCCTTTGTCAGCCCTTTTGCTGGCAGAGGCTAAGGGGGAACCAGCCCTCTTCCCCCGACGGAGCAGAGGCTCCTCTTCCTCTTCCTCAGCGGAGTTGGCTTCTTGCTCCGCTGGATCAGAGTTAGGCGCCCCCTCACCTTCTTCCGGGGCGGAAGACGCCACGCTGGCAGTCTTCGCGCGTAGGACGCCTCCCTTCACCGCCCTCTTCTTCTTCTTTGGGGGAGCAGTGGGCGTCTGTGATGGGTTGGCAGTCGGTTCTGGCGCCTCTTGTCGAACAGGCGGCGACGAACCCGCCGCCATCGCGGCAAGCCGACTTTTCATCAGCTTGGCGATGCTGGAGTAATCCGACCCTGCACAATAGTGAACACAGTTAGTTAAAGTACAAAGAAGGCACAACAAAAGGAACACAGAAAACCTAGGCGCCTACAGACCATCATTATAATACGCCTGAATAATAGGTGGGCGGTTTTCCGCAGGACGCAAGTCCACACGCTCCGCACAAATCAAGCGGACGCCTTCTTTCTCCGCTTGGGACAGTACCACTGTCGAGTTGAATTCCTCGACATGTCCCAACTCCCACTGCCTAAGGAAGGCGCCTCCACTCTCAAAAAACGAGTGCCGATACGCCTTCATAAAGAAGAAGCCGTTGAACCATTTACGGTTAAGTTTGGGACATCGTGACACGAAGTGGTACGGGCGCTTCTTTCGTTTCTGAAGTATAAGCAGTTGTCGAGGGGCGCCATCTTAAAAAAGTACCGGAACAAGTTAAAGGTGGGCTCCACATTGTTCTCCCGACACCTTAACTTGAATAGAATTACTATCGTAATGACGGAGGGAGATAGGCGCCCCAACGAACAACCGCACGTCGCCAGAATCCCCTCCATAATATGGTCGAGGGGGAAGCGCAGCCCGAATCGGAAGTACTCCTGGTACACCCCGATCCACTTGGGCCCACAGACGCCCACTCGCGAGATAGGGGAAGGGGGCGCATACCACCATTCGCGCGGCAGTTGTAGACTGGTGACGAGCTCATGGACGCGCGCCAGAGTGACCGTCGACCCATGCTTCGGCCCGGCCACGTAAAAGGGCAAATGGGTCGTCTCCACTGGTAGATGGTCCGGAGGAAAACACTTCTCCCATGTGGTGATCTTGTAGGATCCATCCGCGGGTAGAAATCCGGGCGCCGAAGAACTTAATGGCCCAGCAGATGTCGATGCAGGCGCCCCCTCTAAACCAACAAACGATCCAGGCGCAACGGGGACGCGGGGTAAGTGACACCCCACCCTAGGTAACTCGAATAAACGCAAACAAAACTAACGAACGAAAAAGGATTCCTTACCGCCTTGGGCCGGCCGCCTTGCATCACCACCCGCGCCAGAGGCGCCCGCGCCTGAAGCGCCTGCACCAGTGTCCAGGAGCCTTGTCTTGTTGTGAGGACGACATCTTTGGACGGACGCAAGGAAGAGGTGTGACGAAAGCAAAGTCTGACAAGAGAGAGGGCAGAGCAGAATCTAGAGAGAGGTCAGAGCGAAATCTTAGAGAGAAGTCAAATGGAAGAAAGTGACAGGAACTAAGAAAGGAGGGAGTATTTATAGGAAGCAAAAGTCCGCGTCAGGAGTCGCGCTGATGTGCCACGTGTCAGTATCACGGGCGAACTTTTGAACTTCCCCCACTTTTCCCTTTTGCGAAATTTTCGAATTTTCCATTTCAAATTTTCCAATTTCCAAATTCGAAATTTCGAATTTTACCGCCAAGCAAAACGTGGGATTCACATCAAAATTCCCCCCGTGAGGGGGGCATAAGGGCTTGGGACGCCCGCACGATGAACGCCACGAGGAGGCGCCGGAGAGCCACAAACGAAGAGGCGCCCTCGAATCACAAAGAAGAAACATGTATTGCAAGGAGCATCAGTAAAGACGGGACGCCCGCCAGCAAAAGAGGATTGGCAAAAGTGCCCCCGAACCATGAAGAAAGTAAAAATACAACATAGGGCGCCGAGAAGCGAGCGTCCCGTAACAAAAGGACACCAGACCGTAGTAAGAGAATCAGTCAGGCGCTCAAAGGTGAAGCCATGAGCACCTAACTGGGGGGCAATTGTTGGGGGTACTACCCAGCAAGTAGGGGTTTGGGCCCCCAGATAATGGAATTGGGGGGCAAGGCCCAAAAAAGGGACTTGAGAAATACCTCAAGGCCCAAATAAGAGGAAGGGTGCATAAGGACAAAATGCTAAAGGCCAAAAGAGTCCAAGCTGTCTTGTGGTCCATGACCTGTGGGCGCCTGTCACGCGTCAGAAGCCTGACAAGGTGGTTGGGATGTCTGACAAAAAGAGTACAAAGCATTAAATGGGCACAATGACGTGGAGGAGATCAACCTCGATTTTGGTGAGTATAAATAGGGGCAGTCGGTAGCATTTACGCAGGTTGGATTCTCTCACCAAATTACTACTTGAGAACATTTCTCTCTCTGAAGGAACTAACTTGGGCGTCGGAGGATTAACGGGCCAAGGCACCCTCCTCTTTGTGGGTGCAGGCAGGCGCCAAGAGAAGGGAGGTTCCTGCTATACCGGCGTGGACTGTGGCTCAAACATATATATTCGGTGGTTGGGGGTAACTTAATTGCAAGGAGATTTGGTACTTCTTAGATTATATATCGTAAATTGTGAGGAGAATTGATGTTGGAGAATGAAGATTGAATACGACAAGACGAGAGGATGTTGATTGTTGAGGTAAGGCGGAGGCAAAACAAAGAAATCAGGGAGTCAAGAGCAAGCGAGAAGAAGAGAGAATCAGAGAGCCAGGAGCAAATGAGAAGAGAGAATACCTTCGTTTGATCCTTTAGAGAGCTTTTAAATGAGAGAGGGCGCGATTTCCAGGAGTGACTATTGAGTAACCCTAGGGAGGCTATATAGAGTGTAATCATGGCGATTACGAACCTATGACGGCGCGTCGCTTCCGCTGCTCGTGGGAAAGTGTGTCGTCATACACATGGCGACAAGATAGGGATAAGAACAACCCGAGGCATGTTGCTCCCGATTCGACGGCTGGGGGGAAGGGTTCGCAGGACAGTTCCTTGATTTAGAAGGCGATCCCGCCCTAGATTTAGAGGATCAGCCGCCCAAACCCGGAGGCTTTACCCGCCTGCGGGACAATTGTTGGGCCGTTGGGGATCACCATCTAAATCAAGGCCCACGTAGCAAGAGACGGCCCAAAAGGGAAAAGGCCCAATGAAGGCTAAAGCACGACACGGGCCGGCCCAACGGACGATGGGTTAGCCGCAGGCGTTAACGCCTGAGGACGGCGGACGTACAGGTGTGTACGGCCGACGGAGCGGCGCAAATAACGACCATACCATCACTGACACCACATTAAATGCCGCCGTAAGCTTACCTCGTAAAGGGATACTAGGCATATGTTTGACAAGACATCAAGTGCTCACACCAACTGCCACAGACTATAAATAAGAGGCAACCACCTCATTTAATGGTAACTAATTCTACTCTCTTTACCTATTTCCTTCTCTCTAGACACTAACTTAATCATCGGAGAGTGTTCGCGGGTTACGCTCCGGACCTTTTCTGCAGTGAACGAGGCATCCCCATCTCAAGGAACCGGCGGTATTCTCCGAGGTCTTCACAAACCCGCCTGCCACTTTCTAGGCGTAAACATTAGGGACAAGGAACATTCTTTGCACAAAGAGAGGGGAGGCCAAGCAAACTCCCTATTGTACCCAGACCACGACTTGTTGAACCAAATGGACGAAAAGAGGCAAAGGGGAAAGAGAAGATGTGATTGTTAGGTGGGTTTTTTGTGTTTGTGTTCCAACAGAAGAATGTGAGCTGGTTTTTTTGGTGTTTGTGTTCCAGCAACTTAGAAGAATGTGAGTTGGTTTTTTGGTGTTTGTGTTCCAACAACTTAGAAGAATGTGAGTTGATTTTTTTGGTGTTTGTGTTCCAGCAACTTAGAAGACTGTTAGCTGGTTTTTTGTGTTTAAGTTCCAACAACTTGTTTAGCTGTGAGCTAGTTTTTGGCTGGTTTAGTTTCCAGCACCTTTGTTTAGTTGTTCCATCAACTTACATTACTGCAAGTACGGTTTTTATTTATGAATTTGATGTTTTGGGTTCTCGTTTTGGCTGGGAACTGTGAAAACATACAGTAATTGAAATGAAGCACTTTTTTCCAATGGAAGTTTCTTTTCAGTAACAAGATAAACAGTTGAACTAGGAGAAATTTTACAATGCTATATAGTATTGATGTTATAGGTTTTTGCCTTGATGGTACAACTTAAAATTGTACATTTATGTTATGGTACAACTTTAGATTGTACCTATAATTTTTGTACAAATTCTTTTATGGTACCACTTGAACTTGTACATTTATGTGATGGTACAACTTCAAGTTGTAAAGTTGTACCATAACATAATGGTACAGATTGCTTTATGGTACAACCTAAACTTATACATTTAATGTTATGGTACAACTTTGAGTTGTACATTAAAGCACCAATACTATATAGCATAGTATAAGTGCTCTTGAACTAGTTCATGTTATGTTCCCATTTTATTTCATAATCTCATTTCATTACATGTTCCAAAATAGATTCCCAGTTCATTACAAGTTCTCAAACATGTAATACATCAAACTCCTTGCCAAAAGAACTCCAACCACAATAAAATAGCCTCTAATGATTTCTTTCACAAACGAAGTGTGATTGTTCCTCTTTTCTATTTCTCGGATCCTCTTATGTAAGACAAGCACAAGGCACTTAATATTAGCTTCAAGTGGTGGATCAATCCAACGAAAATATTGTAGGCAGTTGCACCCTACAAATGGAACACGAGAAGAACCAAAACAATAGATTAGAAATGGTACATATCTGAAATATATCATGAAAGCCAGATTGAAGCCAAGAGATATGTAATGAGCGCACCCCATAATTGCCGCAACCGAAGAAGCGTCTTCCCATATTCGCATCAGTCTAAGAGGTCCGGAGAATCGCCGGTACAGCGCACCGACAAACTGGAGTTGCTGTCGCCATTTTCAATTTGTAGGAAGGTGGACGAATGGAGACGAGGAGCAGAGAAAGGGGGAATTTTGTGTTTCGTTTGGGAGAGTTTTTGGGAAGAGAGAGATGTCTTTTATTGGGTAAAAATTGGGAAGAAGAGTAATGGTGGATTTTCAAGTAGATAAGAAGAGAAAGAGCGGGAAAAAGGGGCTAATGGTGCATTTAACCCGACGTATACTGAATCACTATTCGTCGCCCTAAAATGCACCAAATTGACTATCTTACGCTCTGACCCCAATCTCTAACCAAAACCCTAAACAAACAATTCCTTTTTCATCAGCACACAACACATTTCCACAATCGAAACTTGAAATGTATGCATCTGGGTTCAGAAAAATCTAGCCTCTTAAGCACAGTAGAGCTCGGCTCTTAATTCCTAATAGAACATTAAATTTGAAATCAAAAGAAGCTTATGAATGAACCGTAGGAACAGAAAAAAGAAGCTTATATATATGGGCGCCATGACTGTCATGTGAATTAATGAACTCTCTACAACCCTCGTTTGATTTCCTTTCGATGAACACACTGCCCACCTAATCTCGACCACCGCCACTTGCCTACTGCTGATGCCAGAGATTCTTCTGTTGGTACCGAGCAAGAGGAAGGAGGGACATGAACGAGGAAGTAGGTTTTAATGTTAGTTCTTTTTTTTTTTTTGTTTCCAAGCGTTGGACAGGTGGAAAACCCCATCTCCGGCGAGATTGGGATGGGTTCTGACCTATCCCAACTTGCTGGAGACGGGTTTTTAATCCTTCCGGTGCTTCCAGCGGGCGATTTGAAAGATAAGAATTCAGGATATTTGAGTCATTTTAATAAAAATTAGGGTGACGAATAAGGTGTTTTAGGGCGACGAATAGCAATGCTCGACTTATAACCATGGTCCATGAAACCGTACCGGAGATTGTACCGGGAAAGTCAGCGATAGGGTATTTTATGGTAAAATCGTGATTTAACCGTAGTTCAACCGTTATACCGGTAAATACCGTCTACCAATTTAGTCTCCGATACTGGTATTTCGTGGTTGAACCGCCGGTACGGTACGGTTTCATGGACACTGCTTATAACCCATAGTAATTTGCATTAGGTATTGTTGAACCCTTTCGGTGCTTTCACCAGCCGGTTTGAAAAATAAGAATTAAGTTAATTAAGAATTTTTGAGTCATTTTAATAAAAATCAGGGCCACCAATAACAATACCTATGTAGAAATTTGCATTAGGTATTGTTCAATTAGCACGAGACTTTTGCGTCTGAGAAAAAGAAAGAGATCGAGCGAGCAAGAGACTGGGAGCGACAAAAGCAGCAGAGCTCGCAAACCGCAATTGATTCTTTCTTTTTTTCGGTTCAGCTGATTATCTGTTAAATCCGTTGGATTTACGGAATTCCAATTGGGGAATTGGATGCCGAAAACTCTGAAGATAGAAGAAGACGAAGAAATCATAGCTAGCTTTGCAGGATTTTCTTGATTCTGTTTGCTCGAGAATAAAGATCGATTTGCCTTTTTCCCTTTCGATTCCACGTGTAAATTCGGGCAGCCGTTTGTTTCCCGGGAAACCGTAGAAAGAACAGAGAAAAGGCTTAGGGAAGGTGGCAGTGATTGGGATGTATGATGTTTTGTTGTGTATTCAAAGATCGTTTGCAGAATTGGCTTCGTGACTATGATCGGCTTCAATATTTGGCCGTCATCCTCATCTACGTTCAGGTTAGCTCTCCAATCTCCATCATACTTTCAGCTCACGCATAGCTAGCTCACGCATAGCTAGGGTTTCAGGTTTCGTTTCTTTTATTTCAATTTCACGCACAGATAGGATGTGCCTTGATTGGATCCCTGGGAGCATTGTACACTGGGGTTTTGCTCATCAATCTCAGCGTCGCATTGTTTGCTCTTGTCGCCATCGAGAGTAGCAGTCAGAGTCTGGGCCGCACGTATGCCGTCCTTCTTTTCTCCGCCATCTGCCTCGACATTTCCTGGTTCTTCCTCTTCTTTTCTGATATTTGGTATGCTCTCCTTTGTCCTCACTACATTATGCTTCCTAATTACGTTTAATGGTTCAATGTCGAGAATTCACCTCTAGTTTCTCAGAAATGCTTGTTCAGGAACCTGCATAGCCATATCTCACCGTACTGGCTACACACATAGTGCTACACAGAGATGGAAATCCACTGCCCCCAGTCAACTCGTATGGTTGAATTTTTAGGGCTGTAACATTAATATTATTACCACTATCTTAGCTCTCTTTATGCGCGCTCATCTTCATCACTCTGGGGCATTGCATCACCCTATTGGTCCTACTCTCCTCCTCTACCTCTGGAATGGAAAAGAAGATTGATCATTGACAAACTTAGTGATAATATGCAAGTGGAATACTAAAATAGATTTAAGTGTCACAAACTGTTCACTGCACAGTTGCCTAGGGCACATACATTTCTGCCATTTTTGCTGCTTTCAAGTTCATGTATTCAATTGCCCTTGTTTCTGTTCCGGGTATTGATTTCAAAGTCGTCTTTCATGCAGGAACATTTCTCCCGAGAAGTATGGAATGTTCTTCATCTTTTCAGTGAAACTTACTCTGGCAATGCAAATCGTTGGATTCTCTGTGAGGTTATCGTCATCGTTCTTGTGGATTCAGATATACAGGTTGGGTGTCTCAAATGTTGAAAATGGAGCTCCCAGAGAAGCAGATTTTGATTTGAGAAATAGCTTTTTGAGTCCAACCACCCCTTCTGTAGCTAGGCAGTGCTCAGAGTCTGATGTTATAGGAGGCGCTGTTTATGATCCATCTTACTATTCATCTCTCTTTGAGGATAGTCAAGACAATAGAGAACTGCATGGGGTGGGTATCACCCAACTTGATTTATCTTTTTCCCCTACTTTATGCGACGCAATTGTTTGTTTTTGTTTGCTATCTTGTTATTAAACTCCTTTAGTGAAATGCTTTGATGTTTTAAATTCTGTCTAGTTTTTCACCAGTCATGTCATTTAGCTTTTTATGTACTTGGTTTATTATGTCCTTTGTTTTGTCTGGAAAGGCTTATAAATAAACCTATTGCATTTTGTGGTGTCACGGAGGAAAAAATGCAGTGGTGTTTAAGAACATCTAATACAACTTCTTAAACCATGAGATTTACTTTTTATCTTGGATTAAAGTTGTATCTCTCTTACAATGTTCACTATGTATCTCTGCTAGAGACTTCGAAGTTTAAAGTTTTGGTATTTAACCTTCAACATGCGTAGTAACATATGGATAGGTGGCCTCTATATGTGGAATTCCACAAAACTCTTGCTGGATTGGGCTAGAGGCTAATTGTTCCATACTTATCTACATGTTATCGTGTTCTTTCTGCCATTTTCCCCCCTTATATGCAACTGTTTTGTGTCTGGTCAGTAGCCTTATTTTATATACAAGTGTACATGAGCCCTTCTTTGGATAGCATAACTTACATTATTATGCTTGTAGGAGAAATCTTCTGGCTTGAGCGAAAATGGGTCCACTTCCAGCACTGATGTTTCTTGTCTAAAGGCATACAGAGGCATACCTTTCTGTAATGTAAATGTGAGTATTGTCACCATTTTTGGATTTCTGTTTTTGAACTTATTATTTCCTATGTGTTCAACGATATAGTCTCATAAGCATGGCAATGTGCCTACACAGCTACGCCCAACAAGAATTAGTTTGGTAACTGTCGGTCTCCTTGGTGTGAGGCAGTCCGTTTTGCTCTGTCCTGTCTTTTGCTGTTTAGAGTTCAAGTCAGTGAACTGGTTGTGCGTAATCCCTAATCAGTCTTGATAGGCATGTTTGTTACTTCATTGTTTCTTGATGGCTGCTAATATTCTTTCTATAGAAGCACGACTCGGAATCCTGTATGTTGCTCTAGATATTTGTTGCTATTTTCACTTTTATCTTGCCGATTTATTTGTTTGAAAAAACTGCTTTTCCTGCTGCTAGGGGTTAAGAACTGCACCCATCAAATTTAGCAAGAAGGGAGCACTGTCTGGTTGTTACAAATGCCTACCAAATCGGGATTTTTACATAAAATCGAAAATGAGGATAAAATCATAATCGTAAATTAAAATCGTTAAATCGTAAAATTTTAAGGTCCTTGTAGAAATTAACACTTAAAACATTGGATAGTATCAACATTGTAAATCCTGGATAATACTGAAACATGCCATTTCTACAAGGACCTTAAAATTTTACGATTTAACGATTTTAATTTACGATTCGGATTTTATCCTCATTTTCGATTTTATCTAGTTAATAATTAAGAGAGAACATAACATCAAATTGCTAGGATCAATATTAGTATCTAAGTCCTCAAAAGCATCATCACCATCATCTGGATGGTGCGGGGATAATCTTGGAGATGGATGCTGCCGACTAGTTTTGGTGGAGGAAGATGGCAGAGGGTTAGAGCTGGCGGCCGTTCAAAAGGAATGTGGTTATGAGAGGGGACTAGTAGAACGAGAGAGGAATAAGGGATTAGGTTTCTCGCTGATTTTGGGTAGGGGACACTGTCCAATTCGCGAGCAAAACCTAACCCCACTGGTCTTATTTGTTTTAATTGACCTTGAAATCGTGAAACTTTTAGATTTCGCAGATCTTTATCGAGATTTTATGGGATTTTAGGTTCCAAGATTTTGTAGTAAAATCAGGATCGGAGTCCTCAGGTAAAATGTAAGATCTTAATATCGTAAGATTTTAGAATTAAAATCAGAATTTGGACTGCTTTTATTGATGCCACTAGCAATGTTTCTATTTTTCTTTTTGAAATACAAATTTTCCTGCTCATTGAGCATTAAGAAACATGATTTGTATCCACAGTTATTGTAGAGCAAGTTGTCCGTTGTATAAGCTGGAAGCTAGGTAAGCACAAGTTTTAGGCTTTAGGATTGTCTCTAGTCTCTACACATCTCTCCTGTTGGAGCTTTGTGTAGAGGACTTGGTAGGGATTTCAACTGCCATGGGAATAAATGTAGATTTCGCTCTGAAAATTGCTCTCTGGCAGTTTCTTCCTAAGGTTCAGAAAAGATACTAGGAAGTACTTGCAGTAGTGAAAAGCATACATGGAGATGTGATTCGTATGGACCAATGCTGAACTGGGCCACTCAGTTCAACACAATGCTTTAGAGGTTATTGGATTACGTCCTTATGCTTTTTGGGTTGAGCTTTGTGCTCCTGATTGCTGCTCTACTGGCGAACTTGTCTTTTTAACATGGGTATGGCTCTTTACAGGAAGAGAGTGGAGCAGGGAAGGCCCAGATGGTTTAAATACAATGACGGTTAGAGCATGTGGATTCGGTTTTTGGTAAACACTTTGCCAATATTTTTGGGTTTCAAGTGCGTGAATGATAAGGGCATATTTGGATAACTAGCTGCCAATCATATGGCGTCACGGAGGGTTAAGGAGGTCAGGTGGAAATTATATTCTGGATTTTGATCGATACCGAGGTTGCTGGGATGAAAAGAAAGCAAGCAGCTGCCGCAACAAGGCCATGAATCAGTAACGAAAAGCTAGCGCATTTTTTTTTTATCTGGGATTGCTGAGTGCTGAGTGCTGAGTGCTGACTGCTGAGGGTTATATAGTGTAACAGTCTCTCTTGTTCACAAAAATTCATTCTTTTGTGCTAGCATTATATGGGATGAAATAGAATAGCTTGCCTGGTTCTGTTTCTTTCCCCTCTTTTCTTTCCGCATTCGTTGACGAATACAGTGTGCTGCGCGTCTTATTGTCCAATCTTATTGTCCACAGCTGACCTACTCTTATGATCTATGATCCTCGTTAGAGAGGATTGAATTCTTAGATTCATGGATTGGTGGATTGATTCATTAATTCAAATAGCATTCAACACTTGGATCATTTTGCAAACTTGGACATTTTAGGTACTAAAATGTCATAATGAAAATTTTTAAGTATCAAAAACATGATTTTCTGAAGATATTTTTTGTATAAAAAAAATCAATTTTAGGTAGCAAATTGTATAATATAAAAGTACATGTATTAAAATGTAATTTGTCGACTATCAATGAATTGTCACCTCTATTGCTTATGGTTCTTTTAATTTTTTTTTTTCTTACAGAAAATTGTCTAGGGTTGATCTGATTGGGTTGTATAGGGTGAAACTCGAATTACATAAATCTTTAGCAAGTTTGGGATATTTGTAATACAATGGGATATTTGTAATATACCAAATCTTTTTCCGAATAAGATAATGTCTGTTTTGCACCTAAATAAAGTCTATGGTTTTTGTTCCAAGATGCATATTGAAGTGATTTTTTTAGAACAAATATAGATTAAATTTAGATAATTAAAATAACATTTCGGCCATCTTTTATCCTTCCCATTCCAACTCAATGCCATCATCTTCTCAAGGCTGGATTAGGGTGATAAAACACTTAATTTGTTGTCATGGTGCTAACACTAATCTCAACTAATATGAAGCTTGTATTTTGCCGACTTTCTATGCTTAAAGGGTTGACCACGGATTTTAGTGTTAATTGTAAAGGTAGGGGCATGCTTGTCTTTTCAAAAATTATTAGATCATATCATGAAGCAGACCGGAAACACGACTAACCAAATCACAACATAAAATTATAATATATACAATGATTTTTTTATTCCATAATATATCTAAGTGGATGTCATTTTGAAAGACATGATTAATTAGTTTTCCTTTTTGCTTTTCAAAATAACATCCACTTATATATATACGTTGTAACAAAAAAAATTATATAATACCAATGTATACTATAATAGTAAAATTTGGTGGTACATAAGATTATACAATAGTGATATGAAAGTGTATCAGAATGGTAGTCAATACAGTAAAAAACTAGCTTTAAAGCGTAAAAGACTACAAGTTTTTGGAACAAAAGCTATAGTATTTGGGAGGTCTAACCCTTCCACTTATTGTAACTTTTGTTACAAAATCTTTTTGCATCAAAAGCTCAAGTAAAAGCGCTCAAGCGGTAAAAAGTCTTAGAAGCTAGTTTTTAAACATCTTTTTTTAAATTTACTTTCAGTCTTTCCTTTTACGAATCACTATCAACTATTTGCTTCTCCTTCGTCTACTCTTCTCTCTACCTCCAAAGTCAGCACATGTCGCACCATTGCGTAACAGCCAACGTCCTCATCGGTAGCTCTCGCAACACTGCCTCTAACATTATCTTTTGTAAAGCCTATCAAGTTTGCGAGCAATCGGATTTCCACTATGCTTGTTAGACCAGGTAAAAACGGCCCAGAAGCCTGATGATCAATCAACTCCATGCCCCCTACCCATTCCCTAAATGCACTCATGCTACTTGTAATAAAAATCTCGTTTGATGCTTCCATAGGATGGAGGACAACATTGTTATCTCCCCCAATAGCCCAAGGGAAACCCTTCACACACCACTGCTTCACCTCTCTATACGTATATAAACGCTCACTTTCCTCATTTGAGGCATAAACCACTGTGAAAAAGAATTGTTCAGAGTTGGATAGAGATACCAAACCATGGATAAAGAATGCACTTCTTGCAAGCACCCTAAATTGGTCAGGATTTTTATTATGTGCAAAGTTCAGGCCATACCATGGTTGTCATGCCAGTGGTATGCCGACTTGGTTGAACCAGGTCCAACCGGTGCCAGTCATGAAACCAGCTGGAATACCACCGGCACAACCCTCCAGTCAATACCGGTCAAAGCCGGTCAAAATTGGGAATTTTGGTGGTTCTGGTGGTTCAACTGGCATGGGAGATGCAGGCCAAAGGCCTCCAAACGAGGTCGTTTTGTCCAAAAATTGTAGGGTTTCAGCAGCCGAGCTCCAAATCGCATCCCCATTCTCCACTTCGCCTCGCCCACCAATCCCGACCTCCTGCATGCACTCGCGTTCAAGCTTCTTACGACAAGACCTCCTTCAACATCCCGGGCAACAAACTCCTCCGGCGAGGTCCCTCGATTCGACAGCAGCCCACCCTTCACGTTCATCTTCCTCTCGGCGCGACTTCTTCCGCCGACGCCTCGATTCGCCAGCAGCAAGGTTTTACGGCGAGGCACGAAATGCGGCAGCCCTACTTCTTCTTGTGTGCGATGATCGAATGGCCCCCAACAGTCCACCTTCTTCCTCAATTCACCTCCAACCCTCGCCTCAGGTAATGACTTGGCTTCTTCTGTTCTTAAATCTCCAAACTCATTTGATATCTCCTATCTTGGGAAACAAATTGATATGTAAACATTAAACAACTTTGATTTGTGTATAATTTGTTTGTTACTTCATATATAATCTTGTGCATATAATCTTTTGGGTGAAGTGAATAGGGTGATGATGAATTAGGTTTCATTCTCTAATTTGTTGTTCAATTTTACAGATCAAAGCAGATGGACTCCAGCAATGCATCAACTCAACCATCTGTGGCAAGTAGTAATGCTAGTTCTTTTTCCATAGTTCACTCAAACGAAGATCCTACTTGGGAGTATGCCGAAGAAATCAGAACTGAAGATGGGAAGTTGTGGAACAAGTGCAAGCTACGTACTCATATTATAAAAGGTGGAGGAATTACTAAAGTGAAGCAACATTTAGCCGGAGAAAGGGGTCAAGTTGGTCCTTGTCCTCAAGTTAGCCATGATATTCGTGAGAGGTTCAAGGCTTTACTTAAGGCATCTACTAAATCAACGCCTATTGCAAGGGTTAATGTTGATGATTCCGATGAGGAAGGTAGTACAGGTGTAGTACAAGGGAAAAGCGCTGCAACAACTCCTAATTTCTTTGCTCCAAGAACAAGCCCAGGAGCTCAACCTGGTATTCGGAGTGCTTTCGCAGGAAAAGAGGCAAAGAAGCATGTAAACCTCATGGTGTGCTACGACTTTACCTCCAGGTAATCAATTGTAATGACTCTATTATTTATTTTTTTGTATATCTTGTCAAATAGGATTTGCTTATTAGAACTTATATACCTGAATGTAGCTGAATGGTGGACACTATATGGAGATGATGTTCCAAATTTGCAAAGTGTTGCTATACGACTTTTGTCTTAGACATCATCATCTTCTGGTTATGAGCGAAATTGGAGTGTATTTGACCAAATTCATAGCAAGCGGAGGAATCGATTGCAGCACCAGAGATTAAACGATCTTGTTTATGTGACATACAATCTGAGATTGAATTCTAGGTAATATTTTGTTTGCATGTTACATTGTGAAACTTATTAGTACTTTATATACTTAATTGTTTCATCTTCTTTGATTTTTAGGTGCTTGAAGAAAGAGTGGAAGAGAGATCCAATTGACTATGAGCAATTGGATAAGATTGATTTTTGGATTGTAGAGGAAGGTCCACCTGCAGACATTGATTATGAGGAGATTGAAAAGGCTCTCTATGAGGAGGAGCAGGAGGAATCATCATCCTCATCTAGAAAGCGTCCTCGCGTTGAAGGTTGGCTTAGTATATTATAATTTAAAGTAAATTCATTCTTGTTATAATAGTGAACTTGTCATTATTAACAATCATATATATGATTTTGTGGTTTGGTGCAGAGGACTTTGATTATGATGTGACTGATGAAATCGATTTCGATCTTACTCAAATCATTGACGCAATGGAGATGGATAGTTTTATCTTTAAGGATGTTTGATTATGTACTTTGAACATTTGGGTGATGTTAGTTGAATATTTAGGTGATGTTATCTTTGAGAATGTTTGGTTATATACTTTAAGCTATGAATGTTTATGTGGTGTTTGTTGGATTTAACTATGAACATTTAGATGTTAACATTAACTTATGAACATTTGTGAGTTGGTATTTAATCTTGTCCTAATTCAATTAAGGATGTATTTTAGATATATTTTTTGTGATGAGTTATTATATTCATATCCATAAATTTTCGTAAAACCAGCACAAACCGACATAACCGACATGAAACTGGTTCTATCATGGTAGAACCATTTCCACTTATAAACCGCCGTACCGACATAAACCGATTTGACAACTTTGGGCCATACAAATATATTAACCGAATAGTTATTACCCTTTTCATTTTTTTCTTTGAGTAGAGTACCAAGTTTTTCGTTTGGGCCCGCCTAGAAACTAACGGCCCGATACGTCGGCCCTGTGTATATTAGTCATCTCCATATTCCTATAGTTGTCTTCACCAACGCACTCCCGGTTCTTCTTTCTCTAAACCCTAGTGCTTCTAATATAAAGAAATTGTAAGAGGAAAATCGCAGCTGCGTAGGCACAAACTCTGGCGACGATTGAAGGTAAGGCAGAGCCGAGAAGGAAAAAGAGCCGGAAAGATGAGACCAATTCTCATGAAAGGTCATGAAAGGCCGTTGACCTTTCTGAAGTATAATCGTGAGGGGGATCTATTGTTCTCCTGCGCCAAGGATCACACTCCCACCGTCTGGTTTGCCGACGACGGAGAGCGTTTGGGCACTTACCGCGGCCACAATGGAGCTGTCTGGTCTTGCGATGTCTCAAGTAAGCCTCTCTCTCACCTGCTTCTTCTTTCTTTCTTTTGTCTTTCGAATTCGGACACTCATGCCCCTATTGTTTCTGTCTAACCTATCAGGAGATTCTACGAGATTGATTACTGCTAGCGCTGACCAGACAGCCAAGCTTTGGAATGTCCAGACTGGTGAACAGTTGCATACGTTCAATTTTGACTCTCCAGCGAGGTCTGTTGATTTCTCTGTTGGTGATAACCTCGCCGTCATTACCACCGATCCCTTCATGGCTTTTACCTCCGCCATTCATGTGAAGCGTATTGCTAGCGACCCTTCTGAGCGTACGTTATTTGCTTGCAATTGGTTACCGTGTCTTATGCCTCGGCACCGTTTGTCAGTTATCAGTATATTAACATTTTTCAATGGGGGATGGAATGTGTAGAAACTGGCGATTCAGTTCTGGTACTCAAGGGGCCTCAGGGAAGAATTAATAGAGCTGTTTGGGGACCTCTCAATCGGACCATAATTAGTGCTGGAGAAGATTCTATCATTCGTAGATGGGACACCGAGGTAAATATTTAATTTTTGCATTTGTTTCCTGATTTCTGTCCTTTGCGATTTTAGACTTCAATTATGGACTCATATATCACCTTGATCCTGAGCTTAAGGGAGCAATCAAGTTATCTCTGAGCTCGAATTGTAGACTAGATATATGGAGAAGCAGAAATTGCATGTACTGCTTCTAACATGTGCTTGCTTCTAGTAATACAAGAATTCCATTTTAGCCTTCCTCAAGATGACAAAATATGTTCAAATAGTACTCCAGTTTGGTTGACTCGGGTAATTGAATGTGTTGAACCCTTGTTAACTCAAACAGTGACAGTGTAATTATTTCTTAGCAGGAGTTCATAAATTTGTAGTAACTGTAATTGAAGTAAATTTCTATTGAGATAAGTTCACCAATGAGTGTCAAGCAGAGTCATCTACACCATATTTTCCATAGCAATAGAAGTTGACAGTAGTTTATGATTCATGTTGTGTTTTTGTTTGGAGAGGGACAAGGGTAATTGTCATTTTTATATATTCTCTTACATGCATATTGTATTGTTCGTGTTGCTGCGGGTGGGCATGGGCTCATCTAACAGTTTAGTGGTTGTGTGTGAAGTATGTTCCTGTTGTTTTCATCTTGTGTCATCATGAGATAGTGCATTGTTTCCTTCACTTAGATTACATGCTTGGTCTGGATGATCTTTATGTGGATGATTTGTGGTTCCTCATACCTTGCGTGTCCCTTGCATTTGCTTGATGGTATCATGTTTTCTGTGTTAGTCTATGTTCATAATATTATATATATATGTGCCCATTTTGCAGACAGGAAAGTTGCTTCAAGAGTCAGAGCCAGAAGTTGGGCATACGAAACAAATAACTTCACTTGCAAAGTCTTCTGACGGTTCACACTTCGTTACTGGTTCTCTTGACAAATCAGCAAAGGTTGAGTCTGACAGTGCATGTTTATTCTATTGATGTTTGATTTCTTTGCACTGAGAATCTGAATGTCTCTTGAACTTTGTGTATTATGTGATGGTCAGCTTTGGGACATCAGAGATTTATCCCTGATTAAGACTTATGTGACCGAGCGGCCAGTTAATGCTGTTACAATGTCACCACTTCTTGACCATGTATGTATTTTGAAGCAAGTTTATTTATGTTATCCATGTTTGCACGTATCATATTGTTATTGCCAATATGAAATCCTTATTGAGGAAATTAATACTTGCATCTTCTGTCCCTTCATATGAATCTTAGTTTCCATGTTTTGGCGGGGATCTGATTTTCTGTTGTGTGATGAACAGGTTGTCTTGGGTGGTGGCCAAGATGCATCATCAGTGACCACAACTGATCACCGTGCTGGAAAGTTCGAAGCAAAATTCTTCGACAAGGTTAACTGAACTTCAGGAGAGCATACTGTGAAATCCGTTTTGGGTAGGAGATTTGGCTGATTCATCTTTGCATGTGTTGTGTAGGTTCTGCAAGAAGAAATTGGAGGCGTTAAAGGCCACTTTGGTCCGATCAATGCTCTGGCTTTCAATCCAGATGGCAAAAGGTGAGATACCATTTTTGATAAATCAGAGAAGAATGTTAATGAGATTTCATTCTTGCTTTACATATTTTCTTATGCGAATGTAATTTTGATTCTCTTGGGGCATTACAGTTTCTCCAGTGGAGGTGAAGACGGGTATGTGAGGCTGCATCACTTTGATCCTGACTACTTCAGCATCAAGATATAGGGATAAGGCGAGTGTGAGGAGCTCTACAGCAGTGTGAGAGGGTGCGAATGAATTTGGGTTTATTGCCTCTCACAAGAAAGAACCTGCTGTTGTAGAATATAAACGTTTATTATTATAATGATTGTTGTTACTTGTTAGTTATTTTTATTTGTGTGGTTATATGTGCCAGGAGCTGGCCTTTTTTTGAGCACTCTAGAGACCGTATGCCCGACATCCATTCATGTAGGAAACACATCGTTCTGATAATGCCGAGGCCCACTTAGAAATGCCTAATTTGTCGCTTTTCATAAGGGGATTGGAACATAATGAGTTTAGCAGCAAGCTATAAAACCCTAATGTGACCCTCTTTGCCCCGGAATGATTACTAATTACTATTAGTAATTTTTAGGAAATTACATAAATATATTAAATACAATTTTTCTCTCTTTTTCTCACTTCCACAATTTTACACCCAAATCTCTTTTCCTTCTTTTTCTCAATCTTTCCTTGATTTCGTTCAGCCAAACTAATATATGCAACAACAAAACAATAAATCAATACCAATCCATTAAAAAATACAACCATTGTCGGGGACAAGTTGTTTTCCCTCTCCTCCTTGCTCTCTGATGACGATCCCATACATTGCTCAACTTTGTGGCCCACTCTACCACAAGAAAAGCATATGGTGTGTAGACACGTGGATGATCCGCTGAATCCATTGCCGACTTCACCACGATCGATTAGGTGAAACGGTTCTGAAAAGTTTCTTTGTTCATATAGGCAGCGTGGTTATAGTAGGAAGAATTTCAGCCGGGGAGATAAGGGAAAGAAGAGAGAAGAAAAGGGAGGAGGTTAGGGATGGTTTGTTGGAGGCTGGTGTTGATCCCTATAAGATAAAAGATAAGGGGTTTCGTCTGCATAGGCAGAAGATTTATTCTCCGCAGAGGAAGACGCGGAATCTAAAGCTTCAGCTAGAAGAGCCCTTCCCTGTCTTTATGGTTCGCCGGGTTTTATAGGTACTACATCAAGGGCTTTCTTCAACAACGCCACGCTTACACGGCGTCGAAGGAAGAGGGTCACCAAGCTCCAAGCTAAAAACGGTGCTTGGATTGAAGACCCTGAAGACCTCAAAACGCTTGCTAGAGAGTTTTTCCTCAAGTTGTATACCGACGACTGTGCTGTCCAGCCGAGCATCCCAGCCTTCTTCAATGAAATTGGTGAAGCAGAAGCTGCCCACCTTGTTGCCGCTCCGTCCCTTAATTGAAGAAGATTCCCACTTATCCGTTTTAACCTGGTTTAGAAGAGGGATGAGGATAATCGGGATAAATCTAACGAGAGAAATCGTCATAACGAATGGTTGTAATAAGGGGGTTATGCCCGGGGAAGATATCCACCCCTTTTGAATTAGGCTTTCCTTACTTGAAAGTCAACGCAGTAGGAGTTTAAGTTCCTGGTATTGGTTAAGGCAAAAGAGCATCATCACGTTCGGAGACATGCTTTCTCTCGTAGGGCTAGGGACTAAATAAGTTTGAAAGATAGCGTAAGGGGTGTGGCTCTAGCCTACAAGGGGTCGCTATAACTGTGTCTCATCCCTCTCCTTTGAGTCGCTTCGTCTTTCTCCTTTTATGATATAAGAAGAACGACCAAGACGTATTCCCTTGCATACACGAAATAGACCACGAGTATACGAATGTGGTATTAAAGGAATCCGACGATCAAGCGAAGGGGACTGTCACTGAACTATGTGACAATCTCGCTCTATCTTATGTTGATCAAGGTTGTACTTTACTTCCAGGTAGACTTTCTCAAGTGCTCGTTGGGGCGGGGAAACGGCGGCTGACAAAACATAAATACCATTCGAGAAATAAAACACTACCATTTCAAAAAACATCAATACCATTGCAGATTTAATCACTACCAATGCGACAAAATCAATACCAATCTGACAAAATCAATACCAATGCGTCAAAAATAATACCAATGTGACAAAAACAATACCAATACGACAAAAACACTACCACTACGGGAAAAAATCACTACCATTTAAAAAAAATCACTACGGAAAAAAATCACTACCATTTTGGGACCAGGAGCCGACTTTGTGGCAGCTCTGGCAGTAGACGACTCCTTCCACCACGACGTTGGATTGTATCTTCTGTGGGGTTGCGGCGGCGGCGGCGGCGTGTTGGTGGTGGTATTGGGGTTCGACGGACATTAATGGGAGTGAGTTGAGAGGAGAAGGAGGGTGGTGATGAGGTGGATGCGAGTTGGCGGCGCCATTTTTTGGGTCTGGAGGTTGTGGGAATGGAATTGGGAATGGAATCAATGAATGCTTGGCTTGTTGGGTTTTCTATGATGAGATTGAGCGATGAGTTTGTGGGCGAGATGTGGTGGTTTATATATATGTATGGACTATGGATAATGGATCCGCCATGAGAGATTGTTTATGGACAAGCAGGCGACGACGGATGAAGAAGCGGAGCCGTCGGCGAAGGAAGGCAGCAGAGTCGATCTCCTCACTAAACCCAGGTCGCCGTCGAGGAATAAGCTGACGGACAGGGAGGCGAGAGAGGGCGGTGGCCCTTAGCCTCTCGCAAACCCTAAGCCATCGTCGGGAGGGTGAGAGCTTGCGGCTACGGCGGGTTTGGCTGTAGAAGTAGGGTTAGGGTAGAATATATAGAATAATCAAGTGTGGTCTTCTTTTTCTTCCAAAATTATCCTGAGGCAATCTTAACCGCAAGATTAAAAAAAGAGGAAAGAGAAAAAAATAAATGGTGGATACTGATGTAGCCACGGTGGCTACTAGAAATCCAGTTACCACCCTAACGCATTCCTCTTTACCCCATAACCTACTCGCCCAAACATGTAATTGACGAATCGATTGAGTAGTGTGGAGAAATTGGTCTACCAAACAATTAGCCCACCTTGAGAGTATGGGAAGGAAAGGTGGGAGGTTTTGTTCCCCTTCCCTTCATCAGGGTTCGGTTGGTATCATCAATCGGTAGATTGGCTCTTGGCGGCGTCGATTGGGTGTCCAGTCATCTTTGGTGGGTGTCGACTGCGGGGATGGGGAACCAGAGGGGCATAGAAGGTGGCTAGGGTTTAGGAACCCTTTTATGTTTTGGCCCGGGTTCGGGCCCTATTGGGTTACCGGCTCACATGTTTGGGCCTCTTTGTTTTGATTTCTGATCGAATTTCTTTTTATGCTTGTACCTTTCCATTAGTGCTTTGACTCGGTCGCCTTCTTAATGGCACTTATCTTAAAAAAAATGTATATTCACATATTACATTGTAAAAAACATACTACGAGTCCAAAGGGCAGGGTCTAGACTACTTAGTTTATGATACAAGCTTGTTAATTAGATTGTTCAAACTCGTTCTTCTCTGTCACTTCCATTGCCATTGCCGCATCATATTGTGGTTGGAGTAAGTTGAAGGGACCACCACTAGGTATCATGCGTCTGCAGTGTTAGTGATGACAATTTAAACTCGTCACGGATGGTTTACCTCAATTTATCTTAAGCTATTATTATTGGTAATATTTAAATTGATTTTAAATCATATTTTCACCCAATGTTAATTTATATAATTACAAGTCTTTATCTTTCAACTAATTGGACTTAATTAATCTACCTATTATCTATATTTTTCATTTATGAACTATTTTCTCTTAATTTTATTGTTAAAATAAAAATCTTCTCCAAAAAATATACATGAACTAGTCGGCCTACACCAAATCCGTACCCAGATAGGTATTATTCAATATGATATGTGCTTGACTCGAGGCGAATATGGGCATGAGGTACTTGTCTCGCTCCTTCTCATTGTCATCACTACATGTTAGTCTATAGTTTTTACCTCTGTTTTCAGAACCGGACCAGAGGCTGAACTGAAAAAGTTAGTGGTTTAAGAGTTCACCGGTTAACCATTACAAAACCGTTGGTGAACCGTTGATAGAACCGTTAATGATATATAACATATAAGACTTGTATATTACACTAAGTTAAGAATGAAATTATCATTGACCATAAACAAGTTCAAATTCATATCATCACGAAAATATCTAATAAATCATTCCAACCATCTCACAAAAGAAACCACATTTTTTAATTCAAATTAAAATTTACAGTTCTAGTTGGTAGTAGACAATGTAAAATCGACAATAAGGTTGAGGAAGCATATATAAAATTAATAATTATGATTTGATGGTCTTAGTTTATGTTAAAATATTTTTTTTGTTAAAATAGTGAACCAATGGACCAGCTAAACCGTGTCGGTTCATCTGATTTTATGTTGAGCCGTGAAAAACCGTTTGGTCCATCAATAACCGTTCAAACAATGAACCGGACCGCTATCGTAACTGGTTTGACGGTTCTACTGGTCCGGCCGTTGATCTGGTTCGGATCTTATAACAAGGTTTTTACGATTCAATTTAATTGATTTGAAGCCTAAAATAAGGTGGTTTGAGATCAACTCAATCCAATAACCTTGTTAGTCTAAACCGTTAAATTAAATTGCTCACTCTACCAAGTACACGTAAAACAATTGATTTATTGTAAAGAAACGAATGAAATATGCTACTCTAATTATCTATGAAAACTGTTGTGATTCTAAGATAAATGCCACAAATATATTATTTGTCCCGAAAATGGGGAAGACTAGTTTCTCTTTTTTGTTTTTTTCAGGCTTGAAAAAGGCAAAACTAATTAGCTAAAGAAAGAAAAATAAATGTGCGTGATTGTAGGGAGATTGAGGAAATATATACGAAGAATAAGAAAAATTCAAATGTCAAATACGAGAATGAAAGGAGAAGCGTAATAAAGGGGATGTGAGTGGAGGGGTGAGAAGGAAACCAAAAACGACATTGAGGAATGGTAAACGAACGAAGCCGAAAGAGTTGACACGTAGCACAAACTCTCGCTTGCTAATGAAAGCAAAACATGATACATATAAAAAGGATGAGAATGTGGAGAGGCAAATCATTGCAAAAGCCATTAATCCTTGTTCATCACAATCTTATCAAACAACCAAAAAGAAAGGGAAGAGCCTTATTGTTATTCCTTGATTAAATTGTTTCTTGATCCCAGCCTCCCCGAGAATAATAGAAGAAAAATCGATGGTATATGCAACAAGTCAAACATCGATTGAATAATTAGATACAGTAGATAAAAAAAAGATATAGAAAAGAGGAATCAGATCGATCATCGATCAGGAAATGACTCCTTCAATGAGGTTGGTGTTGCTAAGCATTGTGTTCTTAATTTATTGGCCAACTGCGGTGGTTCGGGGGGAAGACCCTTACATTTTCTTCACGTGGAATGTGACCTATGGAACACTGGCCCCATTAGGCACTCCACAACAGGTAATATTGATTAACGGCGAGTTTCCAGGCCCCGTCATCAATTCCACATCCAACAACAACGTGGTTGTGAATGTGTTCAACAACCTGGATGAGCCATTCCTCATCACTTGGAGTGGGGTCCAGCAGAGGAAGAACTCGTGGCAAGATGGGGTGCTTGGGACCAACTGCCCAATCCCACCAGGCTCAAACTACACCTACCACTTCCAGGTGAAGGACCAGATCGGAAGCTTCATGTACTACCCGTCCACAGCCATGCACAAGGCCGCAGGTGGATTCGGAGGCCTGCACATCAATAGCCGCCTCCTAATCCCAGTCCCTTACCCAGATCCCGAGGATGACTACACGGTCATTATCAACGATTGGTACACCAAGACCCACTCGGCACTCCGCAACATGCTGGACAGCGGCCGCACCTTGGGCAGACCCGAAGGCGTCCTCATCAATGGCAAGAATGCCAAGGGAGACGGAAAGGACGAGCCCCTCTTCACCATGAAGCCTGGGAAGACATACAAGTACAGGGTGTGCAATGCCGGGTTGAAGACCTCCCTCAACTTCAGGATCCAGGGCCACGGCCTGAAGCTAGTCGAGATGGAAGGCTCGCATGTTGTCCAGAACGTCTACGATTCACTAGATGTCCATGCGGGAGGCTGCTTGGCAGTGTTGGTGACTGCGGACCAGGACCCCAAGGACTACTACATGGTGGCCTCCACCAGGTTCACCAAGACGGTGTCCACTGGGAAGGGAATCATCCGTTACGAAGGAGGGAAGGGCCCAGCATCCGCTGAGATCCCCGCAGCTCCAGTTGGATGGGCCTGGTCCCTGAATCAGTTCCGGTCCTTCAGGTGGAACCTTACAGCCAGCGCCGCGAGGCCAAACCCTCAAGGCTCTTACCACTACGGCCAGATCAACATCACCCGCACCATCGTGCTTGCCAATACCGCTGGGCGGGCCAACGGGAAACTTCGCTACGCCATCAACGGGATCTCCCATGTGAACCCACCCACCCCGCTGAAGCTGGCAGAGTACTATGGAGTTGCAGATAAGGTGTTCAAGTATGACACCATGCAAGATCGACCACCTGCATCCGACAAGGCCGAGATTGTAATGCAACCCAATGTTGTGAACATCACCTTCAGGGACTTCATCGAGATCATCTTCGAGAATCATGAGAAGAGCATCCAAGCTTATCACTTGGATGGTTACGCCTTTTTTGCAGTGGCGTGAGTAACTCATTAATTAATTCATTAATTGCCACTTGTGAATTAATTGCCCAACTCAGCTCATCTATTGTCGATCTCGATCATCATCATAATATATATTAATATACGCACGCACATGCAGGATCGAGCCTGGCACTTGGAGCCCAGATAAGAGGAAGAACTACAATCTGCTTGACGCGGTGAGCAGGACGACGATTCAGGTATACCCAAAATCGTGGGCAGCCATTCTGCTGACTTTCGACAATGCTGGGATGTGGAACGTCAGGTCAGAGATTTGGGAGAGGACATACCTTGGGCAGCAATTCTATGTCAGCACGCTTTCTCCAGGGCGCTCACTCAGGGACGAGTACAGCCTTCCCGATAACTCTTTGATCTGTGGCATCGTCAAGGATATGCCCAAGCCTCCACCATACACCCTCTAAATCCCATCCACCCCCTTCTGCCACCTACCTCCAATTCGATCTCTTCATATCATTAATAAAAAAAATTAACCCAACGCAGTAGCAACAACTTTCAACAAATCCTAAGGATATCATATCGTCCATGCATCCTTCTCGCCCAAGATCTGAGATCGAGTTTGAGCAGTAAATTCACGAGAGAGGCAGGGGAAACACGCCTACAAAGATCTAGAAAAGCCAAACCCAAAAAAAATATATAAAAAAATAAAAACAAAAGAACTCCTTATGTGATCTTATGTCTTTACATTTTCTCTTTTTCCCTCTGAGATTTGGCTTTGTTTCCTTCAATTGTATTGCTCTTCTTCTTTCATATAATCAAATATTCTTATCTCTTCTTGTTCATTTTCATGCGCTCCCCACTATTTTATTTAATCATCCAGTGCTCGAAGTATTTTATTTACACTAGCTAGCTAGCTTTCAGAAATCATTATGTAATGTTGTTGCTTCATACTTAATTATTCGTTGAAAGTCTCAATAAACTTTATTCCCTTACAAAATAATCACTATGGGTTGAGAGATACACACATGCAATACAAGACAAGAGTTAGACAAGAAAACAACAACGTTTTTATTTAGGATAATGTCTACAATTTATCCAAATATTTTTCAGATTCTTTTATATTATCCAAACCTATTAAAATACTATTAATTAGCCAGATCTTTCGTAATGCATCAAAATATTAGCCATTTTTACGTCATTATTAATAATTTTGTAACTCTTTTCTTAGTTAAAATACTAAAATTTTGGAATGTCGACCTTCGAGTGTCTCTTCCAAGTCAGTATCATATAGCCAAGTCAATATTACTAAGAAAATTTCTAACTTGAAGTTAACATTTGGCTAATTCTTAGTATCATTTGATGTATTGATTCAATGCATGTATTATCATTTGAAGTTAACATTTGTTCAATTTGTTATATTATCATTTGATGTATTGATTCAATGCATGTATTAGGAAAATACTTTGTTTGGAGGGGCAATGATGAAACAAAAAGCAGGGTAGACAATACTTTGTTGACAATCTCACTTTTTGGTAGAGATTTATAATCATTCATTTTTAGTGATTGTATGACGTAGGGCCTAACAAAAAGGTAATACATGAATTCTAACTCAAAGTGAACCAGAAAAACAACTAAATCTTATCATTACATGTATTTGCTAAATACCTTAGGGGTTGTTTGGAGGTTGGGATTCTCCAAATTGAAGTATTTAATCAATTTGTGTATTGTAATTTGATGTATTAAATGTATGAATTTGAAAAATACATTGTTTGGATGTTTATATTGTGCTTTGTTATAAATGAAAAGGTAGAGAGTAGACAATCTCTTGGTCACAATCTCACCTTTTGGTAGAGATTGATAATCACTCATTTTGAGTGATTGTGGATAGGCCCAGAAAAAGGTAATACATGTATTCTGTCACAAATTTAACCAAAAAACAACTTAATCTTGACATTACATATATTGGTTAAATACATCGCTTGAAATCCCAATCTCCAAACGACCCCTTAGTTTATTCCAAGTAGGTCATCAGGCCTATGTTTCTTGGAATCAAAACCAAAGAATTCGCAATTCGCCTTGCTCTTTAACACACATTGCCACAATTATTTCTCTTTCTTCCTATCTCTATCTAAAAAATAAATGTCGCTGGAACTCTACATTTTTGTCGATCTCAAAACTGCAGATGCTAACATCAACGCATTTGACCGTCCAAGATAACGATCAAATCTCGAGTTTGGCCAATTTCGTAACTTGTATGCATAGTTGAGGCCACGAAGTTATAGATCGAAAAGAATGGTCAGGATGTTTAATATGTGAAAAGTTCGGGCCATACAAATATATTAACCCTATTTTCTTTTATAGATGTGGTTTTTAAAAATAATTAAAAGTTTAGTTAATTTTATGCATTAAATAAATATTTTGCTAATTTATTATATTTGATAGAAGTTAAAGTTTGACTATCTTTTTGTAGTTGACAAGTGTAACACTTCAATCAAATCATTCATCTAAAAAAGTACGGAATAGATTTTTTTTTACAAGGAGAATCTTGTATTGCACTATGAATGATCAGTTACAGAGAGGAATACATGAATCCAAGTGAATTCAAATCACCGAAATGTGTCCCCGAGAAAACGGTTGAAAACATGCCGTGCTTGAGAGATATATCGATAAGAGCAAAGCAAAGAGTGAAAACATCTACCCAAAAGGACCAGGACACTTGATTCAAAATTAGAAAATCCATAATTCCTCTAGCAACCAAACAAAATATAGTACCACCAAGATTAGAGACAGCTCGTCCAATCACAACGGAATCCATGGCTTGAGCAAAGCAATACCATATGGCGCCTCCTGGGGATTGCTCAAAGACCTCCAACACAGTGAATCTCATAAACGAGATTACATGGCGGTAGAGAAGGTCTTCACATGGATTGCTTCGAACTAAAAAGGCAGAGGGATCCAAGGCAACTAGATCGGGTCCATGAGAGCTGAAGATTCTGATTGAGCCACCAGATTCCAAGGAGAAATCGAACAGCCGCCGCAATGAGCCGGAGAAGATGATGCCCTCACCAAAATGAACTCACCGAACTTGGGAAACAACCACCCCACAAAACAAATTGGGGTTCCCAAGCAGTAAACTCCAGAACCCTCGATGAGCAAGCCCTGAAAACGAACCGAAGAGACAAGCTCAACTTGAAATGGAAATGGAAATGGAAGGCCATAACGACTGGAAAGGAGAGAAAAAACTGGAAATATCCGATGAAAACTACCCAAAGCAAAGGTAAGCTGTGGGAAAAAGGAAAAAAACATTAAAATGGGTTACCGTCGATCACCAAAAGCTGTCGGCGGCCACCCTTGGGAAGAAGAAAATGAAAGTAACTATGACAGAAGGGAGAGCACAATTTTGAAAAAAAGATACGTAGTGAGAGAAAGGTTATTTTACTTTCTTGTGACGGTTGTACGTGATAGATTCATAGGTCATAAAAATCATCCAAACTGAACTGACCATATGTGTTTGTGATGAATTGTAGGAGCTCTTGTGACTTGTTATGAAGTCACCATGATGCACCTAAAAATCTTACGGAGTAGGATAAAAAAAGATAATCTTGGACATAAAAGAATTAATATGTTGCCATTGATACTAGAGCCTATATGCGCCCCTCTTGAAAGATGGTGGGGCAATACCTCAACGAGAATGGTACCCAACAAGGGTGTTATGCAATACTTTAGGAAAATTTATCATCGACTAAGTACAAGTGAAATCCAGGGGCGATAATGAATAATTCAACCTTAACTAATAAAACACTTTTTTGCGTGAAATAGAGGAGACCTTCTAAGAACTTTCAAGTTGAATGTGCTTAGAACGAAGTTGTGCAGAGATGAGTAATTTCTTGAGAAATCACCATAATGCACTCATAAAGAAAATTCATACCGAGCTTGATACAAATTTACAATAAGTGTGGCCATAAATCAACCATTTGAATATTTCATTTTATTGATTCAAATTATGAACTTAAAATAGATTTAAATGAGAGACTTCACTTTTCTAGGAATAATTGTTGACGAATAACTTGACAAAAGGATAGAACTGTCACGTATTCATAGTTGAGGGACATAAAAATACAATAAATTAGTAGAATAAGTCATTTTGTTACCTTTAAATGGTAGAGGGACTCGTTTAGTCATTTTGTTAAGAATGTTCTTGGTCGTCGTGGACCAAGCAAGAGAGGGGAAAGACAGGAAACGAGACGAGATTTATTGGTCGCCGTCGGACAAAAAAACACAATTAGACAAATCACAAAGGGGAGAGAGCGCGGAAAAGAGAGGGAGAACTGGGAATCTGGGATAGCTGCCGCCGATCGGAGATTGTTCGCCGCTTTTGCTCCACAGCCTGGGGGAAGGGCAAGGCAAGCTTTACTTTCTAGATAGATCCTTCCTGTCTTTAGCTATACAGTTCAACAGTCGTTCAATGATTGTTTTTGTTCAACTCAAACATGGCGATCCTGCTGCCTATCATTACTCTTCTGCTCAATGCTTTGCTTTGCTGCTTTCTTCCGATACACATACACTCGAACCTTCCAGATCATTTGGCCGCTGAAATGGCAAGTTAGGAAACTAAAGTCGATCTCGTTCGTGTCTGCTCTGCACGTCAATCTTTACCTTCTTGCTTGCTTATGAATCCTCTAATTCTCCTCTCTTTTATGTAATTATATGTGCTTAGGGTTCCATTGGAATCGAATCAGCAGCACCGAGTTTGCCTCCGACGACCCTCACTTTTTTCTTCTGGTAAGAATCCGGAGTCAACCCTCCTCTTCTTTCCGTCTTATCTAATCTTCAAATTTTCTTCCCGATCTGACAATTCAGCTCATAACTCGATTCATCTCCATTGATCGATCGTCAAGGTTTCCGCTCTTCTGAATTCTCTTCTGTTTCATATTTTGTTTCATTTGCTATGTGGTGCTCCCCCTTCCGATTCCAAGCAATTCCGACGGATCTTGCTGGGGATGAAGATGGTTTCCTGTTCTAATTTGTTGTGTTATGGTTATTCTTGAGATGCGGTGGGAACTAGTGCTCTGCCGCTTTCCGTTTCTCTTCATTTCCGATCTCTAATTCTGCTGCTGCTCCTGATTTTTGTGACAGAAAAAGGAAAAGAGACAATGGATGCAGCAGGGACGCGGTCGAGGTATTGGTGTTACTCGTGTCATCAAATGGTGAACCCGATCAGGGAAGTTGAGGATGTCAAGTGCCCTCTCTGCCAAGGCGGGTTTGTGGAAGAAGTTGATGGTGGTGGTGGTGCCACAGATGGTCATGCTCATGACCCCGATTCAGACTTCTCATCCGATCGCAACCTCTCTCTCTGGGCACCCATTTTGCTTGGCATGATGGGGAACACGAGACGTCAAAGAAGGTTCCGGAGAACAGATTTTGAGGAAGATTATGATTACAGCGACGAGGATGGTGAAGCTCGCCGTGGAGGAGAGGTAGACAATCACCTAGACCGTGAACTTGAATCCATCATAAGGAGAAGGAGACGCAGCTCTGCTGCTATCTTGCAACTGCTTCAGGGACTTCGGAGTGGAACCGAGAACTCTCTAGGAGACTCCGATAGAGAGAGAGCAAGATACCGAGACAGGGAAAGATACAGAGACCGATACAGGGACAGGGAGAGAGAGCGAGTTATCTTGATCAACCCTTCCAATGAAGCAATTATGGTTCATGGTTATGATTCGAATGGCAATGGAGAAAGCCTGAATGAGACTCCCATTGGGTCATTGGGTGATTACTTTGTCGGACCTGGTCTAGATTTGCTGTTGCAGCACTTAGCAGAGAATGATCCAAATAGGTACGGGACTCCACCTGCACAAAAGGAGGTGATCGAGGCACTGCCCACGGTGCTAGTGAAGGAGACTGTGCAATGCTCTGTGTGTTTGGATGACTTTGAGATTGGCAGTGAAGCAAAGGAAATGCCATGTAAGCACAAGTTCCACAGTGGGTGCATATTACCATGGTTGGAGCTTCATAGTTCTTGTCCAGTGTGTAGGTTTCAGCTTCCGACAAACAAGTCTGCGTTTGATCCTGTGAGTGAGGCAACAAACCATGGCGGCAGCAACAACAATGAGGGAAGTACTAGCCATGAAAGCAGTGGTGAAGAGGCAGAAGGGGAAGGGAGAAATGGAGGAAGAAGGTTCTCTTTCCCGTGGCCTTTCAGTGGTTTGTTCTCCTCTCCAAATGCAAGCAATTCGTCAGCAACCCCTTTGTCTCCTTCGGCAGCAAATACACGTGGGTCCGGAACAAACTCTTCTGAAACGTACGAGAATTGAGTGCATTTCTCATAATCAAAACTGATCTGGTTGGATTTGTGTTGATGTCAAATCTTTGTTGTTTGCTTGAACAATTGGCTTGTCAGTAATGTAAATACACGCATAATTGGAAAGGATGAGGGTGTTATTGATCCGTCAATAAAGCTGCTTGAAAGTTGGGTGAATGACAAATGAGTGGAGGTTGTTAGGGAATCCATCACCTGCCCACTTGACCCTTTTATTTGATAGGACCCGTTAAGGTTAGTGCTGCAAACGAGTCGAGTTTTTGCTTAGCTTGAGCTCGGCTCGAACTCGAAATTTTATCATCCAGCTTGAGCTTGACTTGATTAAAAATAATTCAGCTCGAGCTCGGCTCGATAAAGCTCGGTAAATGCTCATTAACACAGCTTGTCAAGCTGAGTACAAGCTCGGCTCAAGATAAGCTCGATTTGAAACCATTCTTGCTGAAAAATGTGTACAAATAAGAACATTAGAAATTAAAAATGATAAAAAGAACACTAAAAACTAAAAATAACATCTAACTTCCATACACATCCTTATTAACAAGATAATTTTCATGTTCATAAAAGTAATTAATCCTTCCACAAGCTTTAAACAAGCCAGCTCGCGAGCTTAGCTCAACAAGCCAGCTCGCGAGCTTAGCTCACGAGCTTATCAAGTCGAGCATGGCCTAACTCAAGCTTGGCTCGTTTACTAACGAGCCAGCTCGCGAGCCGGCTTGTTAAACAACGAGTCGAGTGTCGAACGAGTTTTTTCCGATTCGAACGCCGAGTTGCTCGCGAGCGGCTTGGCTCATTTGCAGCCCTAGTTAGTACCTACACTCTTTGTCCTTCAGCGAGCGTGTTGAATTAAATGCTAATGTTGTCGTATCTCACTGCCTGCGGGAGGAAGGCATCCCCATTAGCCATTATCAGCAGCGAAAATAAAGGCCCGGCCGGCTGGCTATTCAAACAGGCTTCCTGGAGAGATCGAGCATCATGTGGCAAAAGTACTATCAGAGACAGAGAGGTCCCTATCCCCATCTACTATTCCCTTATCCCATCCAGGGACCAGGGTTGTGGCATACCACCTAGCCCTCAATCCCACAACTTCCAACCAACCAACCAACCTTCCTGTCACTCAAGCAGAACTTTTTTATAAAATCTGGGGCCAAGTTTAGCAAACAAAATCTTGAAGATGAGATAATTACCCGGAGCCAACACCGGTTCATAGTCAAACAAAACCAACAACGCACGTAAGTTCAGAGAAGTGGACACTGTTATCATCGTTTTCAGAGTATCCGAAGCATTTAAAAATAATCATTTGGCTCCCTGTGTCTAGATATAAAAGGGAAACAATCGCCATTGTCCAACCAATCAAAACAAGTAAACACAAACATAGGCTATATGACTGCCCAAATTATTAGCAGTATCCGCTCTTCAGACCTCTCTGTACCAAGTTACTGAAACCCAAACACTTACTTGACCGTTATGATCTTGATCACCGAAGCTGTTCCAACCCGGTGCAGAGCCACAACAGAATCCCCTGTCTTGCAGAGTCCCTTCGACTTGGCATGCTGAACAGCAAAATCAAGAGCTTCCTCCGTCGTCTCCTCATGAGAAGCCCTAGCTGAGCCAGCATACAGAACCGGGACCAACCCACGGAAGATCAGGCTATGCCTTGCAGGAGCTTCATCACTGCACGACCAATCGAATGAATCGGTCTTTATCTCGGGTACAACCACCGACAGAATCGGCATCCCAGGCCTATATTTAGCGACTAGCTTTGCAGTACTCCCTCCCCTGGTGAGCACCAATATGATGGATGCTTTTGCTGAATTTGCTGTTCTCACTGCAGAAGAGGCTAAGCTCTCTAATGGGCTCATGGGGACAGGTGAGTGCTGCATTATTCTTTTGAACACATCTCCATAGTCCAGCGTGCTCTCTGCTTCCACACATATCTTAGCCATGGTACGGACAGCTAGTTCGGGATATGCTCCCGCAGCTGTTTCGCCACTCAACATGACACAGTCAGTTCCGTCAAGAACCGCATTTGCAACATCGGTGGCCTCGGCTCGGGTTGGTCTTGGGGACTTGATCATGGATTCCAGCATCTGAGTTGCAGTGACTACTGGTTTTCCTTGGATGTTGCACTTGTAGATCATTACTTTCTGCGCCAGAAAGATCTTTTCAATTGGAATTTCCATTCCGAGATCACCACGTGCCACCATAAATGCATCTGTATTGGCTAAGATGTCATCAAAATTCGCCACACCCTCTTGATTTTCAACCTAACCAAAACCAAAAATAAAGGAAAAGCTGTTAACACTGCGAAAGGAAACAATCTTGACTGCTCTCTCCCTATCCCGAAGTCCATAAATTTACTGCCTATAGAAACTGCAGGCAGCAAACTGTACTGGCCAAACAGCAAGATTATCATAAGTAATCGTGTACATGAATGTGCTGTGCTATTACACAATACATACTCACCTTTGACATAAGGAGGATATTCTTGGCATGAGGTCCTAGCAACTTCCGCACCTCCACAAGATCAGAGCCCTTTCTAACAAAAGAAAGAGCTATCATGTCGATTTGATTTGGAACTCCCCACTTCATGATATCTTCCTTGTCCTTCTCTGTCAATGTAGGAAGATCAACTATGACACCAGGGAGATTAACATTCTTCCTCTCACCAAGGACGGCAGAGTTTTCACACCGGCACTTAACCAACCCTGCTGCTTTGTCACATGATAAGACAGTGAAGGAGATTGTGCCATCGGAACAGAGAATCACCATCCCGGGCTTGACATCTTCAGCCAACTTTTTGTAGCTCATGCATATCGTATTCTCATCGCCCTTTATGGAATAGTCGGTCGATATGGTGATTTCCTGACCCTGCTTTATTTGGATAGGTTTACCATCCTTGAGGAACCCAGTTCGGATTTCTGGCCCCTGTGAGATCATAAGAAGCAAGCACATCAACGGGATGGCATCGTATGTTGATGGACATAATACAATGATTACCGACAAGCACTCAAGTAAACCTTCTTTCTACCAAGACCCGACAAATAACAGATAATGAATTAACAGACTAGCAGGATACAAGAGTCTATCAACTACCACTCAAGAAACCAAACATGAAACTAAAATCCTTCCAACAACAGAATCTGAAATTGCGAACGTAGCAGGAGCCAAAAGTCATACAAACTTGAGTAAGAGCATTTGCTTTATAATAATTAGAGAGGCAATACAATTTTGAATCCAGGCTGAATTAGGTTTGCGAAAAAGCGGATCAAGTATCCCGCATAACGCGGATAACGAAAAGGATCTTAGGGCATCACTGATGTAAGTCGTTTTGTGGTTTTTTGTCTTGTACCAACAGCAACAGTAAATTGAAACCAGAAGAACAAGGGACGATCGGCGATCAAGAGGTAAAAGGGAAAGAACCTTGGTGTCGAGCATGACGGCACAGAGGATTCCGGTGTTGGCCATGGCGGTGCGGAGATTGTCGAGAGTCTCCTGGTGGTACTCGTGAGATCCGTGGGAGAAATTGAAGCGGGCGACGTTCATGCCGGCGTGGAGGAGCTTCTCAACCATGGGCACGGATCTGGAGGCCGGGCCCAGCGTGCAGACGATCTTCGTCTTGGGCCGCTTCTCCATTTGCGAGGGCGGAGCTGCGTTGTTGCTCGTGTCACTCACCATCTTATTTCCCCTTGGAATTCAGAGATCTGTGGAATGGAGGAAGAAGAAGACAACGACGAAAGTAGGGATGGGACGGACGCAAGGCGTGGGGAGAATAAAGGAACCAAAATTATTATATGGAAAATTGAATAGAACGGAGGATAATCTCGTCAACTCGTTTCTTTGTAAACGCATAAAGAGGATGTTTGGGTTTGGCCGTGGTAATTGAAAAACGTGGAAATTGGAGTAAATTTCAATGATGTTCAATTTTCAGTAATTGTCACTTGGAGATTATTAACATTCTCATGTTTGGCTAGGTCTTTTGAGTGTGGAAATGTGGAAGTGATTTTTGTGGTGCTAAACAAACAAATACCAAATTGTCCCTTGTGGAAGGATATAATAGGTATCTCTTGTGTTCATTAGTGCGGGTTCTTCTTCTTTCCCCAACAACAAACAACCTTCCCAATTTCAGCCAGAGTAAAGATTTCCTTCTCCCCCCTAATAAAGTTCATTTTCTTTCAAAGCTTCTCACAGTAAATGCTTCCTCCTCATAGAAAAGTGAAGGCTAATCGCATGAAGACAAATTAGTGAAGCAAAGTTAATTAGCGCTGCAAAAAAAAAAAAAAACAGAAGTTTGAGACAAGAGAAGTGTTGATGCATGATATTTGTACATAATAGCAAAAGAACAAGGTTGCTAAGCTAGTGCAGCAAAGCAACAATGTAGTTGAGCTAGTTGCATTCCTAGAGTGACGTAAATGAAAAGAAGGTTAAAAAATGAGCTAATTGCGATTAGCAACCACTTGCCGTCTACGCGTCGGATTCAGTGTGGATAGTCTCGACATCCTTGATAAGGATAACAAAATAAATTCAATAAACTAATCAACACCAACATATCAACAGGTCGGACAAATAAATTATCTCAAACCTAAGCAGTCTAGTTCTGCATACCTTCAGTTGAAGAGAAAAGGGTATACAGAACCCTAATTATTTACCAAAACAGAACCACCTAATTTAACTATGAACCCAGCAATAACGAGAAAGCACCTGATGATGCGTGATGGTTTCCTCTCGACTCCTGCTTGCTGGTGCTATTGGGAGACTAGAGCTGGTTGGTGAGAGCCCTTCTTGTCGCCTTCTTCTGTAATCCTCTGGAACTGAAAAAAGAAAAGAGTAATATATGTGGTGAGGAAGAAGGATAACGTGTAAAGTGGTGTATAAAAGACAAGAGGGCCAGGTTTGGATTTCCCATAAAATAACAGGGATAGAAATGGAACCAAAATTTGTATAAACGTGAGAAAGTGAAATACATTGGGCGGTTTTCCAATTTCCACATATGTGGGA